GTGTGTGTGTGTGTGTGTGTGTGTGTGTGTGTGTGTGTGTGTGTGTGTGTGTGTGTGTGTCGGGGCGTTGGTGAAAGCAATAAAACTCAGATCGCTTCCTTGCGAGATAGCGGCAGCTATAATGCTCCGAGGGGATCAGGGTTTATTTGCAGATCCTGGATAAAAGATGATATATCGACGAGGTTTAGAGTGTCACTGCGCCTGGCCTCTCGGGAAGCCACAAGTACATATTTCCTGAAATACCACCCAACACAATATCTAATCCAATGCCACTTAAGCACTGGGAGGGAACGCCGGCATCCCACAACTTTGCACCCAGCTTTTCAGTTCGAGGTGGAGAGAACCCACCCCTCCCTGGTGGGGTCTAGGCCACCTCAACGCTCCTTCTCTGGCCCTTGTCTTTGGTCCAAGTGATCACTAAACGATGGGCCTTAATAAATACGTTTGAGAAATGTCCTTATGCTCCGCAAATATTGGATTAGCTTTTCAATGACCAGGCTCTTGAAAAGGCTGGAGAAATCCACGCCAGGTCTCAACTAAGCCCAACAGTCAATAGGTAAGGAAAATAAGTTATTTCCCTGGTGGGAGCGGGGGATGTTGAGAAGGGGGTGCCTGCTCTGTGGAGTTATCTACCACGATGGAGGTTCTAACGGAAGAGGAGAGGGGAACAGAACTTTAAGTAACTTGACATTTTCATCAATTCAGTGGTGCTCATTCAAGTCGGGCTTTCTGCAGAGAAACACGTCTACCTTTTATTTCCACAACCCTGTCTGAACTCTTTTTGATTAGAAAATATGCTGCTTATTTGGGTGATGTTTGTGGGGGTAGAACCAACTTAGACTGCTTAGGGAAGGCCACCCCGGGTGTGTTCTTTCTAAGCACTGCTCTGTACAGGAGACATTGAGAATTAAGGAGAGGGTCTCTTCAGGTGAAGACTGTGGAGTAAGTTTCTGAACAGGCTCTCCCTGGCACTAAGACGCCAGAAGGCTATACCTCCGTAGTTCAACTAAGAAGGTGTCCCTCAGCTGGCTTTGATAATCAAGTGATTCTGACTGATGCAAGGTGCCTGGGGACTGGCTGCTGTTGCAGTCTGGCTGGGCTGAGCAGACCTCTTGGGCCTTTCCAGAACTATGTGGGAGCCTCTTTGAACCACTAGGCTGTGAGTGCAGGAACACAAGGGACTGGGTTTGCATAGACCCTGAAGCCCAGAAGCCCTAGTCAGAAAAATCACTAGGCCCTGGGCACCCCAGGCCTGTCCAGTGGCTTCAGCATGGGGTACCTGGCTAGTGGAAGCCTTGCTGCTGTCATCTCAGATAGAGTGCACACCAGGGGCCCAAAGCGTGTGTGTGTGTGTGTGTGTGTGTGTGTGTGTGTGTGTGTGTGAGAGAGAGAGAGAGAGAGAGAGAGAGAGAG